CTATTGACCCTGTCCAGACCCTTCAAGATCATACCTGTTTCAGTAAATTCACCTGACTGGAAAGAATTTTGGGAACCTTTTATGGTGTTTATCTAACTGCAGATTTTGATTCAGTGAATCATTTGGTCTGCTTGGAGGCAAGGTTTACAGTTGAGTATACAGTCAACTCTTGTTGGTTGTCTCACTTGAGTTGCAGGCAAGACCACAGTGATTCAAATGTCTGTCTCATGGGACAGGTCCATTTCTGGCCTTGATGACTCCCTCTATTCAACATCATTTGCGTGAGTCTAGATTATCTGCTGAAATTGTTTCAGGTCTCAGTAAGTATTTTAATTAAGAGCAGGAAAATTTGAAAAGTATTGGGCAGTGGTTGGGAAGGGTTTTGGAGCCCCAGTTGAGCAATTTGCAAGGTAGGTCTGAATCCCCAATGGCAGTTACACTCGACATGATGCCAAACCAAAATGTTGCAATGCTACCCCATCTGGGATTCTCAGTGAAGGTGACCATCTCTGGTTGCACCTATTCCTGGAGGTGACATCACATGACTGTCCCACACTCTTAAACCACATCACTCTCCTCCCTCGATCTTCACATCACCCCAAATACACTGATGCTAATGTACATTGGAGGCGAAGGGAGTGAATGCTGAAAATGATACATATGGTGTCATTCAAGTCAGCTGTTTTGTCCTGGATGGAGTCGAGCATCTTGAGCATTGCTGGATCTGGACTTTTCCAGGCAAGTGGGAAGTATTCTATCACATTCCTGACTTGTGGTTTGTGGATAATGCTTTGCCACAATGGATTGGCTATATATTAGACTTCCATTTGAAATTTCCTTGTCTGTTTCTTAGATGAGAGGACATTCGCCCAAATGGGGAATGCTTTAACTTAAGTCACAGATAGGAAAGGTTTACGTGACACGCCAATACAGATTGTATCAAATGTTGGTAACAGCATGGCCTGTATCAAGCCTCAATAACAGTATATATAGTAATGATTACAGGAAGCAGTGAAGCTTGTAGCGAGAGAAGGTGACAGTGATGAGCATCAGGAGTAGGTGGCAGTACAGATAAAACCGACAGTAAATGACAGATTGCTATGATCTGTCAATGTCCCTGTTTTAGTGGGTTCCCACTCCACATCATTATAACTAACATGCATATTATTTGTAGACTGTGGTCTTATCTATCACATATTGTAGATTCAGTCTGTAGAGTCACTGAGTTTCAACTCAATCTGTGCTGTCACCTACTTTTGAGGAAATCTGTACTGCGAACTCCTCTCACTTGTCTGCACTGTCACCTAGTCTCCCCGGTCATCTCTCATTGGTCTGATCTCCACTATCACACAAACTATATTAATAGATGACCATCCAAACTCCCTGTTTTGACAAGAATAAATTACATTTATATAGCACCTTTATGCAGTATAAAGAAATTGAGAAATAAATTGAGCCACATAAGGAGATATTCAGACAGACATCCAGAAGCTTGGCCAAAAGAATTAGATTTTAAGAAGTGTGTTAAAGGATGAGAGAGAAAGGTAGAGGAGCGTATAAGCTTTGAGGAGGAATTTCAGAACTTGGGGCCTAATCCACCAAACACAGAGCCACCAATGGCATGGTGGTGAAAATTATGGACGCACAATCCTCCAGGTTTGGAAGATGACCGATACCTCAGGGGCTTGTGAGGATGGAGCAGATTACAGTGATGAGGTGGGATGAGGCTATGGAAGGATTTGAAATCAAGGATGAGAATTTGAGAATTAAACTGTCACAGGACCGCGAACCAATGCATGTCAGTGAGCATAGAAGTTGATAGGAGTAATAGGACAGAGTGCGAGTCAGGATATGGGATGCTGAGCTTAGCACAAGCTGCACTTTATGGAGATTTCAAGGTGGGTCGCTGTGCCAGGACTGCAAGGGACAGTTGAGTTGAGAGTGAGCATGAATGAGGGTTTCAGAAGGTGATATAGAAGTGAAGTCAATGTCACAGAGGTGGAAATAAGGGATCTTAGAGGCAGCATGAGTAGGTGGTCAGAAGCTAATTCTCAGGGTCAAGTCCAACACCAAAGTTACAAACAATCTGGTTCAGCTCAGACTATTACCAGTGAGAGAGATATAGTTAGCAACAAGAGAACAGAATGCATGGCAGGAATAGAGACAAGCCTCCAATCTTCCCAATATTTTAATTAATGGAAACTTCAGCTCAACCAAAACTGCTATCAGGCAATCAGCGATGGTGGAAAGGTTGAGACAGTCGATGGGGATATCTGTAGATGTGTGGAAGCTGGTATTAAAACAGAAACTATTGGATTAACTCAGCAGGTCTGGCAGCATCTACGGAGGGAGAAACAGAGTGAGCATTTCAATTCCTACATGACTCTTCTTCAGAACTGAAGAGGGAGGTGGGACAGTGATGGGTTTTGTATCAGATTAAAAATTGGCGGAGAGGAACAAGTGGAACGGAAGGGAAGGTTAGAGGTCAAGGATGTCATAGAACAGAAGGCAACAGGACTGATAATGGTTGTAAAGAAGAGCCAGTAATCCAGAATTAAGTGTTAATAGCAGATAGGTCAGCTCTGCTGAAAGGATATTCATGTGGACAAGACGCTGAGGGTTGAGATGTAGGGAATGCTGGGAAATCACAATGGAGGACAGAGTTCTCAGTCTGAACTTGTTGAACTCAATGCTGTGTATTAAAGGCTGTAAACTGTTTAAGCAGAAATGAGATGTCATTCTGCAACTTGCATTGGACTTCCCTGGAACAATGCAACATGCCTAGGGCAGAAAAGTTAGCATGAGAGCAAGATGGTGTATATTAAAATAACACAGAACCCCTGGCATTCGTGGGCGACACAGTGGCACAGTGGTCAGCACTGCTGCCTCACAGCGCCAGGGACCTGGGTTCGATTCTAGCCTCGGGCGACTGTCTGTGTGGAGTTTGCACATTCTCCCCGTGTCTGCGTGGGTTTTCTCCGGGTGCTCTGGTTTCCTCCCACAGTCCAAAGATGTGCAGGTTAGGTGGATTGGCCATGCTAAATTGCCCGTAGTGTTCAGGGAGGTAGAGGGTGTATATTAGGTGGGTCATAGGGGGATGGATCTGGGTGGGATGCTCTGAGGTTCAGTGTGGACTTGTTGGGCCGAAGGGCCTGTTTCCACACTGTAGGGATTCTAATTCTAGGGTGTGATGGGCATGTTTGCAGACTGAACAGAGGGAAGCCTCAAATTGTACACCCATTCTGTGCTTCAGACACAAACTCTCCTTCATTTCAATTATACTCCTCCCTTGCTAAGTCCAGTGTCTCATTTGCATGGTTTACTTTCAGCAGCGATGACCAGTTTTTTTTTTTTAAATAGGATCCCCACAGTGTGGAAGCAGGCCATTCAGCCCAACAAGTCCACACCAACCCTCCAAACAGCATTCCACCCATCCCTCTACTCTATCCCTGTATTTCTATGCCTAATGTACCTAATCTACATATCCCTGAAAACTACGGGCAATTTACCATGGCGCATCCATTTGACTTGCACATCTTTGGACTTTGGGAGGAAACTGGAGCACCTGGTGGAAACCCACACAGACATGGGGAGAATGTGCAAACTCCACACAGACAGTCTCCTGAGGCTGGAATCAAACCTGGGTCCCTGGCGCTGTGAGACAGCAATGCTAACCACTGAGCCACTGTGCTATTAACACCTACTTTGAAACCGTACTTTTCCTCTTCTCTGTAACCATTACCACTCCCTTTGCCATTTGTTTTGTGACATCTGTGAACTCTAATTGCCCCTGTCCTACAACCTTTTCCTGACCTTCCCTTCTGTTTCACTCGCTCCTTGCTACCTTTATCAACAGCATAAGACCATCACTTTTCCACCTCTCTTCAGTTCCGATGAAACATCATGATGGACTTGTAATGTGAACTCTGTATATCTCCCCAAAGATGCTGCCAGATCTGCTGAGATCCTTCAGCACTTTCTGTTTTATTTCAGATTTCCACCTCTGTGGGTTTTTGCTTTTCTTTTAATGTGGAAGTTGATGGTAGGTTTTCAGAGATCTGCAAAGGAGCTGAATGTGGATGAAAAATAGGAGGGTAAACCTTGGAGGAAACACTAGAGGAGACAACGCAGGAGGAGGTAGAGAAGCCATTGTAAATGATTCTCCAGCCAGCACTCAATGGATCAGGCTGGACGACAGGCAGAGGTGTTGGAGATGGATAGTGCAACCACATCAACGGATGCAGCCAGACCGTGAAAGATTAAGCAGGGATAGTTTACCATGGTCACAGCCACATAGGCTGTAATTTGTGACTGAACAGCATCAAGAGGAGATGGCAGTACAGTCAGTCCTGAGAACAAACGACAGTACAGATTGTATTGAGAGTCAACAATACATTCAACAAGATAAGCACTTGCAATGAAGAGAGCAAGTAGATATTTATAGAGTGCTGAGGGCTGCAACTAGAAGCTGCAACAGTGGCTGGCAACGAGCTGCACAAATTGAGACAGGAGTGAAGTGGAGAGAGTGTACTGTTTATTAGGAGGCAGTAGGGTGTGTGTGAGTGTGCAAAGATTGTGTGAGAATGTGACCATGTGTGTGTCTGTGTGTGAAATTGCACGTGTCTATGTGTATCTGCCTGTACATGTGTCTGAGTGTCTGCATATGTGTGCACATGTATGCCTCTGTATCTGTGTATCAGTGTGTGTATGTGTCTGTGCATATACACACTGGCACACATACGTGTGCGCACGCGCATGTCTGCGAGTGTGTGTCCTTCTATGTTCCTGTATCTACAGGTAAGTGTATTTGGTAAGTCTGGCTGAGTGAGTGTCACTAAGTGTGTGTGGAACTGTGAATATATCTGTGTGTGTGTGTGTCTGGAGTCTGCCTGTGTGTGTTTCTGTTTGTGTCTGTGTGTGTACCTGTGTGAATGCCTGTGCCCTTGCATATTTCTCTCTCCCTCTGTCTGTCTGAGTGTCTGACGGTGCAGGATACTCACACGACCCAGAGTGCTGTGATGGTGGAGACGGACAGGCTAACGGGCAGGATGACCCAGGCTGTCATTCCAGGAGGCAGGCGGTGTCTGGCACGGTCCGAGACATGAGGACGAGCTTATCCTGTCCCTGCAAACACAACCAGGAGCGGGAATCAGAAAGTACCACCGGAGCCAGCGCAATGCAGGAACTGTAACAACCCACCGACTCGTCCCCTCCTTCAAAAAAAGTCGCATTTATACTTCTGCCTGTCTTGAAAATAGTCCCGAAATATTCCTAAACTCCACATTTTGAAGCTGAGCCTGTTGTTTACACGGAGATGGGGGGGGTGGTCGCTCCATTTAACTCTGTCTGCAAACAGGGGTCAGGGTCTGGGAGTGAGCAGCGCCGGGTCCTACAAATCCCGGAGAGCTACAACTAACCCCCACTCCCACCCCCCGGCCTGTCTCTCCCCTCCATCACTTACTGATGTCGCTCCTCGCACGGCCCCGGGGACCCGCGGATGCTCCCAGCCCGCGGGATGTCTCAGAGATCCGGCAACAGCTGCAAGTCCAGCTACTGACTCAGCGCTGCCTTCCGACCGCTCCAACTGCAATCCGTTCCGATCAGCGCAGCACTAGAGGGCTCCCCTGAGACAGAGGTACACTCACTGTGGGCAGGGGGAGGGAGATAAACTGGGATACACTCACTGGGAGAGACACAGGTAGGGGGAGTGATATAAACTAACTGAGATACACTCACTGGGAGAGACACGGGCAGGGGGAGAGATATAAACTAACTGA